AAATGAAACCAAGAGCTGGTTCTTTTAAAGGATAAACAAAATTGATGAACCATTAGCCAGATTCATCAAGAAACAAAAAGAGAGGACCCAAATAAATAAAATCAGAAACGAAAGTGGAGAATAACCACTGACACCACAGAAACACAAAGGATTGTAAGAAAATGCCAACAAGCTGGACAAGGTAAATGAAATGGAAAAATTGATAGAAAAATACAATATCCCAAAACTGAATCAGGAAGAATCAGAAAACCTGAATAGGCCAACAACTGATGAAATAGAAGCAGTAATAATAATAAAAAAAAACTCCCAGCAAAGGCCTGGGTGCAAATGGCTTCACAAGAGAGTTTTATCAAACATTCAAAGAAGAACTAACACCTATACCCTTCAAACTATTCCAAAAAATCCGAGTGGAAGGAACACTTCCAAGCTCTCTTTATGAGGCCAGCATTATCCTAATTCCAAAACCAAATAAAGCCACTACTAAGAAAGAGAACTACAAGCCAATACCCCTGATGAACATAGATGCTAAAATCTTCAACAAAATATTAGCAAATCAGATCTAGAAACATATTAAAAAAATTATACACCATGCCAAGTGGGATTTATTCCAGGGATACAAGGCTGGTACAATACAGGGGGGCCTTGACTTACGAGTTTAATTTGTTCCGTGAGAGACCTCCTAACTCAAATTACTCGTATGTCAAATCATTAAAGTGAACGAGTGAGACACGTGATGCTGAGCTGATGTTGTGGCGTTCACTGTGACGTTCGCTGCGCCAACTAGCGGTGGGGTATCTGAAGATGGCTTGTAATCAAATTTTAGCTCACAACTCAAAGCAAAACATCAGCCGAGAGACGGCTCATATCTCGAAAAACTTGTTATTCGGGACACTCGTAAGTCAAGGCCCCCTTATTTAAAAGATTATACACCAGGTCCAAGTGGGTTTTATCCCAGGGTTGCAAGTCTGTTACAATATTTCCAAATCAATAAATGTGATACATCACATAAACAAATTGAAAGACAAAAATCATATGATCATATCAATAGACGCAGGAAAAGCATTTAACAAAATCCAATACCCATTTTTAATAAAAAATCTCAGCAAAGTGGGAATAGAGGAGCATATCTCAACATGATAAAGGTCATATATGACAAACCTACAGCCAACATCATCCTCAATGGGCAAAAACTAAAACCATTTCCCCTAAGGACAGGAACAAGACAGGGATGTCTGCTTTCACCACTTTTATTCAACACTAGAGGCCTGGTGCATGAAATTCATGCACTGGGGGAAGGGGGGGGCGGTCCCCTCTGCCTGGCCTGGGCCCACTAGCAGTCCTGGAGCCCTCAGCCAGAACCCAGCAGCAAGCTAATCTACAGGTCAGAGTCTGCCCCCTGGTGGTCAGTGCACATCATAACAACTGGTTGACCAGTAGACTCTCTGCCCCCTGGTGGTCAGTGCACGTCATAGCAAGCAGTTTAGTGGGCTTAGTGTATATTAGCCATATAAGGTTTGATTGGGTGAACAGATTACTTGACCATTTGCATTTTTGGCTTTTTTTATATAGGACTAGA